TCTGGAACCTGTAAACGTTGAGCGTCATAATGTGTTGTTGCGTCTTTGTCTGAAGAACCCTTAAACTAATATTTATTTTGGTCCTATTTGCAATGCATATGGATTGAGGCAGTGTCTCTGAAACTCTAACTACAGTCCTCTTTTGTTATGTCAAATTTTGAATAATTATGTTTCTATAAATAGCACCATTTTGAAGAATGGACTTATTTGGAATAGGATGTAATTAGTTTGTTGCCTTCAACTTAGGTTAGTCCACTTGTACATGTAGAAGGTACTCAAGACGCAGTGAAAACCTGCAATGCTTAATTTCTAACAGGCAATTGTCAGTTCTTGTTGTACGCCGGCTTCATTTTACTGTCTATGCCTCTACCAGTTTCTAGATTGAAGTATTCTCCAATTGGAAGCAGTAGTTGTTTTGTTGTTTATTCTATGACTAAACTAACCCTATAAATCGGAGAGAGTGAGAGAGAGAAGAATGCTAGCTAGCATTTCTGCTGGCTATAGGGCATTTCAACAAACACTTTGGAAGCACTTACCTAGCTTCCGAGCTCAGACATCAGTCGCCTCGAATTGTGATACTCCATGGCGGGGTGCATCACAACCACCGAGCGGCTGGTCCTGATTTGTAGTAGTGATTTCACCAATCCTTCAGCTGTGTGCATTGCCAGAGCAATCAGATAGAGTCAGTATCGTTAGTGGACAAGCATACAGCCAGACATGGAGAAACAACCAGAGTCCAGACATGGTTAGGAAGGCAATGTCAGTCTAACCATGCATCAAAGATCCATGGAAGTGACAACATCCTTTGGTTGGGAGGCAGCGACGACGTGAACCGTGAAGGGCAACAATCGGTAGCCAACATCTCCATCCTCCTAGAACACAGAACCAAGTTGACAACCCACTTGTTCGTGGCCGAGACACGAACAAATATAACCGACCACCAACTTGAGATGATATCGACATACGTCATGATCTTTAAGGGCATGTTTGATATAGGGCCAAGGGGGTGGCCTGCGCTCCCCAGCTACAACCCGGGCCTGTTTGATTTGCTTGGCCACCGTCGCCCGCTTCCGCGCATGCAAATGGCCTTCTCTCTCCTGCACTCGGGAACGCTCCTAGGGTTCATTTCTTTGGAGCCATGCTCCATCCATCCTCGCGCGGGCAATTTAGGGGCAGCGGCGGCGGCGGCTCGCGCAGGAACCATGAAACTTCCTCCCGCGCTCGCCCTCGGTGAAATCCGCTGTCTTTATAAGTCGCCTCCCTCCACCGCTGCCTTCCTCTCCTTCTTTCAGCTCCGTCTTCCCCATTGAGTTCACGCATTGAGTGACCGTGGTGTTGGTGTGGTGGTGGTGCGGCGTGGCGGTCTTCTTCCTCTCTCGATTTTCATCTCTATTCAGGCGATCGAGATCCGCTTGACCGCGGCGCTGCTGCGCCTCCTGCTGGGCTCCGTGGACATGGTTGTCTTCCTCCTTCGTCTTCTTCCTCCTATGGTGGTTCGATTAGTCTCTGGTTGGGGTAGATCTGCTTTGTCCCATACCGGATCCGCTTCTTCTTCTAGTGTGGCTCTTCTTCTTCCGTCTTGTGCTTCCTGTTGTCATCGTCGACTCCCCCGAGGTGAAATCCCCCCAAATCACCTTTGCTTTCATTCTAGGGTTTGTTGTTGCCGTATTTTGATTTAGGTTTGTCTCTATGGAATGATAGTTTGGGTACATGATGCTTTTGTAGTTGCTATGAATGTTGATTTCAAGCACTGAAACATTTATGCTCCATTGTTGGTTCTTTTGATATGGTCGATGATGAATCTGTCCATTAGTTTGGTTGTTCTGTTGCCTAGCAATTTGTAACTTGCTGCTCTACTGGTTTTTTATTTGTATGGCAGCCACCAATGATTTCAACTTGATGAACACCACCAGATTCTAAAGATGAGGCCAATCTTTTCTTACAATGCCTATGATATCATAACTGTTGATTTGAACTTGATGATGTTGGTCATCGAGTGAGGGACTTAAGATCAACGATTTGTTTCATCGCAAACCGTAGATCTTCAAGTTTCACACTCATGGCAAGTTTCATGCATTACATTTGATTGAGGCTAAACCACACCTTTTTTTCACAGAAATGGTCGGTTGCTATGTGGTTTTCTATGGGAAGACTCCTGGGATTTACCTGACTTGGTAGGAGTGCAGCAAGCATGTTCTTGGGGTCAAAAATGCTATATACAAGAAGTATAGCAACTATGAGCAGGCTGTTAGATTTTCAGGCAGCAATGAGAGATGTCAATCCATCTCATGGAGCAGCAGCTCCCCTCCCCTATGATCTGGTTCCTCATGTTGCTCCTCCTCAAACCATTGCTCCTTCTGATGGTGATGGTAAGCCTGGATTGCTCCAAGAATGTGTTGATCATCTCACTTGATATCTTGCTGTTTGGACTGTGGATGAAGGTGGGCACTACTTGGCACTACTGCTGCCCCACTTAGGCTTGTGATGACTAGAACTAGAGGATGAATGAGCTGCTGTTGTCTTACTAATTTGTGTACTCTATTTCTGTTTCCTATCTCCTATCTGTTGTCCAAGTACTGCTGCTTACTGATTAGGCTGTTGATGTTAGTATTTTACCTTGCTTCATTGGTAGTTTGTAAACTTTGAGCAGCTATGACTCCATGGGTAATTACCTAATTAGTCCGGAGGCTTTTTTTCGTTTTTTTATCCTAAGTATGATGAATGAGAACAGCAATTAGTCTGAGGCCATGTTCTTGCCAAATTTCTTTATTTCATATTGTTGTAACCTTTTGTCTGGCTAAAATTTGGTTAAACTGAACCTTACATGCTTCAAATCTGTTGTCTGTTAGGATTATACACTTGTTCATTAAGCATTGTTCCTTATGCTGCTGTCTTCCTTGTGATCTATTCCTTCCTGTCGTTGGTTGCTGGTTGTAGCCCAGCCAGGCCAGAATAAAACATGATCTCCAACTGGTAGTTGATGCTGGGCCGGGCTGTATGCTTGAAATCAAACACTAGGCCGGCTGGGACAGGCTGCGCAGCTGTAACAAATCAAACAAGGAGGCCTGTGCATTATGGACCAGGCCGTGGCTGGCCTGGGCCTGGCCGACGGGCCGAGCCACCCTTGCACCCTATATCAAATAGGCCCTAGCTGGTTAGGGTTCTTGTGCTACAACATGTTCACGCGAATCCGATTTAATACGATACTTACATTTTTTCTTTAGAATTTTATGGTGATATTAGGCGACGTGTTAACCTCTATATATACCGGCTCAGTCTCTCAGAAGTGTCGCTTTTCCCAATCGGTTGGTTTTTGTCACTTCTCTCTATAACTAGAAATCAAAATTCAGGTGCTACATCCAAGTGCCAATCGGTTGGTTTTTGTCACTTCTCTATAACTAGGAATCAAAATTCAGTTGCTACATCCATGTGACAAAGCTCGGATTTTCTGTTAGAACTACAATTACAAATTTGTTGTGTTATATGTAAAGGTGGGAAGTCGTTGTTGATAAATAAAGGAATAGTTTGATATATGCAAGTAATGCAACGGGTTTAAGCTTCGGCACGACGCACTAGTAATAAACTTAAGTAAAGGGGCATTAGACAACACTCAATTCCATACGAAGAGACAAACTGTTCCTGCATTCTTGCTCAGCAGGATAGCTACCCAAAAAGATGCCAAATAAGGTTTTACAGAAACCGATACTGCCTTTCAGATAAAACCAACATCCAAGTCACAGAGCATCAACAACATACAACTGGAGAAGGAAATCGAAGTTGCTATAAAGAGAAATATGACGCATCTAACATCCATCAGCACTAGTACATTTGTGTGGGAGGTAATAAAAAAAGTAAGTACAAAGAGAAATATGACGTATCTAACATGCCAGCGTCAGATGATATCAACTACTCGTTGCACGCACTCCCCATCGGCTTGCAAAACATGGCATCCAGAACACATCTGTCCCAACCATGGTACTGATAGTAACCACCAAGAATGTGCTGATCCAATTGGACAATGTCCATTACACTACACAGATTTCCGGCTGTAAAAACGGGTCCCCTTCCATCCGACTCTTAGCGCTACGTAAAAAGGAGTATTGACTGTCACTTCCTCTAGTTAGCAATCAATTTGGAAGGTGGCAACTCAAAAGTCAGCAAGTCAGGTACCTGATCCAGAAAAGAAAAAAAAACATGTAAGAATCTACCTGCTTAAAAATTAAGGATTGCAGGAAGCCGTAGAAGGCAGTATGTGCACATTGTGTTCCTCTTTGGGGGTATAATGATTGCACAGAGCCCATTTATGCATCCACTCCCCCACTGAGCCCTTCAAAAATTTATGCATCCATTTACTTCTGAGGCAATCCAAGTACACAAAATAATGACTAGAACCCACGACAAAGTCTCGCTAGGATCTAATCAAAACAACATGACCAGCCACCAATGTCCTAGCAATTGTCAATGAAATTTAAATTGATAATAAACAGCATGGTGCCGACTCTACAAACACATCAAGTGGAATCTGTTATTCATTGAAAACACAGCAAAGGATGTCAATAATGGAAACCATAGGGGAATGTATGGGGGAAAATTCATTGGCACAAACAACAAAAGCTGGGAAATAGTTTTTTCTAGGAAAGATGAGCTATACACAATATACTGTTCCAAATTGTAAGTCGTTCGGGCTCTTCTACATACATAGGTGCATAGCAAAAGCAATATACTTAGAAAAGCCAGAACGACTTACAATTTGGAATTGAGGGAGTACTAGCAACCTAGGGAACCAAAGCGCAAACATAGAATTGAAGAAACTAAAATCCCACAGATGCTCAAGCTAAAATGAAATAGTTTGTATAGTTCAACCTGGCAACAGCGCTGTTCAAATCAGTATATATTTGTATTACTATGATTAAAAGAAGTTCACAAACCATGTTCATACCTGAAAACATTAGCAGAATCATAATTGTAGTATCATGAGTCCTAATTCCAGCCGTGATTAACTAGTACCAATCAAAAACATCCCCAAGATCATCATCATCACCACCATTTCCAAGATCATGCTCTTCTTGCACATCAGCCATCTGTCCGCCGTGCTCTTCGTTCGACCAATTTGAACTATTTTCCTCGTTGAAATCATCCAGTACATTCTAGAAACGAAGAAAATAAGTTATAAATCTAATTGGATAAATTTAACATAATGTATGTCTGTTCAAGAAAAACCTCATTTCCAGGGCCTCTTTCACTTGATGCGCCATCTTGTTTTTGTGTATTGTTAATCTCTGGCAGCACAACATCTTCAATGTTGAGCTGCTTAATTACCTTTTTGAAATACAAATTATCTGCAGAGAAAGGTGAAATTGGTAAATGACAAGCACTAAGCTGGATGAAAGATTAGAAAAAAAAATGCAGGTTGACCCACTAATTAAGCGACATCTCACCTCCTGAGCGATGAATTATAGCATCATGGATTAGCAATGGATTTTTTTTCTCCTCAGATTTAAATTTTTGCCGCACCTGATGGCGAGTCTTATCAGGGAATAATTGTTGTATCATTGCAAAATCGCTACCAAATTGTCGAAGACCCTGGTCCAAAATTAATACAATAACATCTTAGCAGAAGATCTAAGGTCATATGAAATTACATATAGCATTCCAAGCGCTTAATTTGTATAGAAAAATAAACCTCGTAAAACAAGTCAGTATCTGATTTTGACCATTTTCCTCGGGCTGGTTTGTTCATGTAGGATTGGTAGTTCAATTTTGTTGCATTTTGTACATGGTTCTCTGTTCCATCGTTGTCAAAGAACCTAGCTTCCTCATCTCTGTAGTCCAAATCATCCATATCTTCTAGTTCAAAGCTTCTGTGCATAAGATAACATATTAACGAAAGAATCGAATAAATGCAAATAAAAATTAAAACTATAGTACTCAGTTTGAACCTTTAAATTTTAAATTTTGATCAAGGATGTTTTAAATATTTTAATCTTCAACTTAAATTCAGACAAACCAATCAGCCATTTAAAAAAAATCATGGCTTTTAAGCTGCATTTCCAGGTGTGAAATAAAATGTCAGGAATGGAATACATAGCACAAAAAGGCTTTTATGATGCCAAAACAATCAGAAGTTGCTTTTGGAAGGGTCTTGGCTATTCAACAGGTGTATATTATATGAAATAAAATGTCAGGAATGGAATACATAGCACTAGCAGAGTGTGATAGAAGCTTTGATGCAGTCCAAAAAAACTGAAGAATGCAAATAATGACTCTGGAACCAGCAAGAGCAACATCAATGTCATCTTGAAATAGCTTATACTCACTATATCTAGATGCATAGCAAAAGTTATGAACCTAGAAAAGCCAAAACATCTTATAATTTGGAATGGAGGGAGTATGAAATATAAAAATATCCCCTTTGAAAAAATAAATATCTAAACATGCTAGTAAAAATAATTTTGTTAGATGACATATCTGGATGGAAAATTGGAAAGTATGGAGTGGTACACTGGTCCAATATGTTCATTTATGCCCACCCAAATGCCCCAAATCTACTTTGGTTAGATGGTATCATACATAGAGAAATAGAAGAAAAAAGAAGTATACCTTGTATTAGAGGATGGCCCAGATGGAGTCTCTTTTGGCTGAAGTCGTCAAGAAAATCATGAGAATTAGCCAAAAAAAAACAAATATAACAATAAAAATTGCCACAAAACTCACATTAACATGCGCTCTAGCTTCTTGTAACAACCTGAGATGTGCTGCACTTAGCTTCATGGGATCTATCTTCTCACTTTCCAGTAAAGTCTCAATCTCTAAAAAAATAAATACCCAATATACAAGAGTGAAAACTCACATTATGCAAAAGTGAAGCTTTGATACTTTTTTTTTAGCCACCAACCTTTTGGTGTCCTCTGACGAATTCTGTGGGTTAGCTTCTTCTCAGGCTTCGCTGCCAATTCATCCTTCAAGGTTCTTTTGCGGCCCCGTGAAGACACCTTGCTTTTATTTTTTTGAACTTTCTGCTGTTGTGACTCTTCTACACCAACCCTTGACTTTTTCCTAGCCTTGCGCTTATTACCAGTAGTGTGATCACCACCACTATCATTATCTTCTTCAGATAATGAAGGTTCAACACAGTCTTCATCAAAATAGTCATCAACAGTGTGATTAGGTGTCCCAACTTTTTGCAACTTTTTCCTGCAACATAGTTTCATAGATGATGCTATTTCTCCAACATCCGAATTTGGTTGCTGTTCAACCAGATGATCTAGTGGCTCCCTCTCGTGGTCCTGATCATTTGAATATTGGTCCTCAGTAATAGAATGCTGAAAGAAGAAAAGGAGAGTAATGAGAAACCTTGTAGTAGTCATGTAAATATAGATCATTACATCTTCTAAGCAGAAATATACTGACCTTTTCAGTCATCTGCTGAGATGGGTTACTTAAATTTTCATCAGTCAATTTGTCACTACAGGAATTGCCGATGTTACCCATCTCAGAATTGGTATCTGTAGGAGTACCTACCCCAGAAGCATCCGATAGAGCAAAAGATACAGATTTTGATTTTCCCTTTCCTCTTCCTACAGTAGGTTGAGACTTAAAAGTGAGTACAGCTGTAATGAATATTTTTGCTCTTTATGAGAATACAAGTACCGAGGATATTACCCAATGAAAGGCGAACTATTAACCATGATAACAAAAATTATTTCTGTACATCCCAATATGAATAAGGGCTATGCAGATAATATCACTCAATTCGAAAAAGCTTCAACTGATAGTAAAGGAACATGTGATACTTTATGTCTTGGTTCCTTAGCTAGATTAAGCAAACTATGAAGGAAGGACAAAATTAACTGGAAATTGATCCTTATAAATATAATTACATTTTGACGTAGCTAAGCACAATTGATATTATAGTGTTATGACATGAGGAATTATGTATAGAGGTACAGGGAGAACCCACAGACCGCACCAGATTAAACCAGTGCTGCCCAAGACAGACATGTAGGTACTAAGCGACACAATCCCACCACGCCACGTAGGCCACCTGTGCTGACCTACTAGAACCTGGGTCTCATTGCATTTGGACTTTTTTTTGTCATGTCCTGAGAAATCAAAACACATATCTGATTCTTGGTTAGAAGAAGCACATGCGTCTCACTGGTCTTACAGACAGTGGCAAAGGAGAGTAGGAGAGTGCTCTGTTGTGTTCAGCTGGTGCCTGGGACTATGCGAGCTACTCCTAAAGTCGCTCACCTTGGACTCTTAGTCCCTTTCCTGCGCGAGCTAGTCATATGCATCTATGAGTGTGTGACGATCCTATGGTAGATTGTGTCACTGTATGTGTGGGTAGCAAGGGTCTTTATGCCCTCTTGGTTATATCTTTTTTCCTTAATGAAATGTTTGAGAAAAAAGAGAGTTTAATAAGTGGTCCACTAGGATATCTAGTTAAATAGTTAAGGGGCTATGCATACTTACGGAAATTTCAGTGAGTAAAATAGACTTGATCCTTAAATATATTTGGGTAGCAAGTGAAGGAAACTATTATTTAAATAAACAGTTAGTTTAAACCTCAAAAAACTGTTTCAAAAAAACACTTGTGTCTAAAAACAGCACAGATACAAATCATGGCTTTAAAGATAGCACTAGTGATCACTGACCTGACCATCTGTGCATAAACACAAGCCTGCATGACAGAGCTCAAAGCTCATACTCAAGTATTATTGCAACAATAAGCACATATCTAACAAAAGTATTTTCAATTCCATTTACTCTAGTGAGATGTTTCGTCCATGAAAAATAGCCCTCAAATAGTCAAATATAAAGAACAACGAGGTCACCCGCACTGCAATCGTTTAAAGTATAGAATACACAGTACATCGAAAGAAAGAAGTTCCACCAGTAAAAGCTGTTACCTGGGACTTTGCCAACCATTGATTGAGTACCATCGGTAGGAGGATTAATTAGTTCGTTGTGATAGTCTACATCAACAGTAGCATGCACAGCCTATAATACCAATAGCAGTTGATTAAGTAAACTTTATCAATAGCAGTTGATTAAGTAAACTTTTTTGCTATTATATGAAATGCGATAAAGGGCAGATGAAACCTCCTAGATGTAACCTGTGGTGACCAAGCGGCTGGACCGGTGATGGTTTCTTGATCTTTAGGTTCTCTGCACATATCATTGTTGCCGAGACAAACTCCAACCATTGGAGCAACAGCAGCAACATTATTTTTAGTCACAGCAACCTTGGATGAAGCCTTCCCAGGCTTCGGTTGCAATTTAGGACGAAACTTAGCTATTGTTTCCTCTTGAACTGACTCCTCAAGGACACTGTCGAGGTTAGCTAAACTGCAACTTTTACTATTATCAGTTGCCAATAGTCCTTCAGAATCTGGGATCTGCACACTTTCATGACTTTTAGGATCCTGTACCTGATCGTCATGGAGTCTTGTCTGAATATTATTGCCCTTTCCATTTTGTGTAACCACATCTACAGTGGAAGCTTCCACCTTTTGGTTAGTCTTCCGAGATTTGGCTGTTTCCTTAAGGAGCTTCGTCTGTGCCTCTGGCTGGAACTTTGGAACTCTTTCCTCTTCAACTTGTGCATCACACATGTCCCCAAATTCAACTATATCATCAATAGCCTTGCCACATGAACTGTTAGGTGACACATTGATATCTGAAACCACCGAGTTTTCTTGGTGTATAGCTAACTTAGAAGGATCATCATTGTGCTCACCATCTTGAGAAATCCTGTCTGCAGCAAAGCACCAGCCAGAGGACCCAGGGGAACTGTCATCGCATCTTCCGATGGTGTGTCGAGAGTACCATGAGAACCAGCAACAGTATCAACTGACTCACTACCAGGGCACGTTAAGGATGTCCTTTCTTCACTGGTGAGCTCTTTAGAAGAATTGACTTGATTTAAGGCTCCTACTTTCCCATCTCCAGTTTCTTCAGTAGGATTAGGCGCTGCAGATCTGGATGACAGAGCTGTTTTTCGGGGTTTGGGACGTTGCTTGGGACGGAACTTTGCAGTAGCCTGAACTTCTTCTGAGGCATCAAGGATATTGCCGAAGTTGGCCTCATCATCAATCATCTGTGTGGTCGTTGTGGTTTACAGCAGGCTATCTTGAACTTTGAGTCCCACTGAAAGCCTGAAAGGAATATTGCAGATTTAGGAAGCAGCAATGGGGGCAAACATAGAATCAGATAAGTAAAAAAGAAAATAAAATCCTTAGGACCTGTAGAGTCAGGATGGGGTATTCAACCAGAATGTACTGGAACTTAATATAAATTTGAACTAAATACACAACTACCAAATGAATGCACCAATGCAAAGAGCCTTTAATGGAACCAATAATTTACAAGGATCGGAAGCAGTAGATGAAGGAAATATGGTGCAATATCACTTGTGAGTAACAGTGGGGACAACTGGCAGTGACATAACTAAGCCGCAGCAAAAGTACTCAACGACAACAATGGATACGCTCTACAGCAGAACGGACAAATAAAATCCAGGAAAGTTGGGGCAATGCCCAATTGGTTTATGACAACGAATCAGAGAAAGTCATATATTAGCATCATCTATAACATATCCATGCCCAACTCTCAATTTTCTCAATATGTCCAAGTCAGCAAATACTAAATGTTATAACAAAATGCTAGGCGCTAGGCAGGCGATGAGACTCTGCCTAGCACCTTAGACGTTTGTACTTTTTGCATACTATAGTAATGCTATTAAATAGAGGAAATTTGGCATGTTAACTTAAATAACGTGACATTATCATGCATCCATGAGTTTCAAGGCCATAGTTTGTCACTCTCCACCTCTGATTTGTCTCACTTTTATAGCTTTCTTTAAACTGTTTCAGCGTTCATGACCTTTCATCCGGGTAAAATCAAGCGTGCACAGCGCTGCCTTAGGGTTTAACTGTTTATAAGTGGACGCAAAAAATTGCACTAGCACTTCAACAGTGATGGATCGACGCAGCGTGCATAAAAAGAATAATCTAAGACAACAACAATGGGCATATGGGCTGCGACAACGGGGATACATCCAATCAAAAGGAAGCTAGCTGGGTTTATTTAGGGCTTACCAGTGGCACAAGGAATCGAATCAACCACTGCAGGAGGCGATGCATAGAGGAGAGAGAGAGAGAGAGAGAGAGAGGGAAGAACCGATGCAAGATTCTGAGGCGGAGGCTGACCTCCGACCTCCAGCTCCGGCTCAACGAGGCAGATCTCCGACCTCCGGCTCAACGTGCGCAACGGCGGAGGGCGGACGTTGCGGCGGCCACGAAGTAGGCCGTGGAGGTGTCGGTGGCGGCCGTTGCGCCGGTGGCCGAGGTGGTGGTGATGGCCGTGGAGGCGGCGGTGGCGGTGGCAGCCGGGGCGGCGACGCGGAGGTCGGTGGCTATCTTTCTCTCCGATGGGTCGACCACGACTGCGGATGCTCCTAAGGAAGGACGGGAATTAATCAAATCAACCAACCGCGTCTTCTGGAAGGAAAGGATGTCCAACACAAACGAACACCAGGGGAGAACCGGAGAGGGAGCGCGACCGCTGTCTGGCGGGGGCGGGCTTGTCCGCCTCGGACGGAGCGGCGGCGGAGGCAGGGAGGGGTCTCCTGGGCTTGTTCTCCCTCGGCGACCGAAGCGGGGCCTCGGGGCACCGGGCAGGGAGTGTGGTGATGGTGGAGGAGCAGGCGGCGGGCCGCGGCAGGAGTCGCTGTGCGTGCGCGCGTGGAGGGTGGAGGCCGCCGATTGCGCTGACTGCTGGGAAAGGCCCATCCGGCCATCCCCAAGCCCAAATGTTCCGGGGCCCACTGCTCCCGCCTTGCCCGTGGCTCCCACCAACCCGACCGGATGAGCGCCGGCGCCCTCTTCTCCACGTCTTCTTCCACTCATCACCAGTCAGGCAGTCACCCGTACGGTAGACATGATGAGATGAAAATAAATATCTACCAGTGTCCAGTGAGGTTGTGTATTCGCATCTTTCATGTTCAATTTCAGTTTTCATTTTGCAATCAAATTGAAACTGAGAAAGAAAAAAAAAATCTGCTGGTATTATTCATTCATACGTACCAGTTATCAGATAACCAGAGGAGTAGGGGGGGAGAGCACTCACCACTTCAGCAGGCTCAGGGGCCGGACAGCCGAGCCCGGGATGGCCTCGGAGTCGGTCGGTCGGAGGGTGGCCTGCGCTGCTGCGCCTGCACGGAGCCGCGGAGGGCGGCCTGCGCGGTGGCGGGCTGGGGGTACTGGGCCGCTGGTGGCGCGGCGACCTCGTCTCCGGTCTCCCGACTCCCCTGCGGACGTGTGTAGTGCGGCGGCCGTCCGGGTCGAAGGACGGGGTGAACGGACGCGCTCTCGGCTGACGGGGTGAGAGAGACGTGCAGAAGGATGAGTCCCCAATCTTTGGTATTGGGCCTAAAAAATACATGGGGTATTAAAAGCTATTGGCCCAACGACTAGGGGCCCTAGGCTCAGGTCCGCCCCTGGTCAGTCAGTGGTCACCACCATGCCCAAATACATCCATGCAGTCTAATTTGTATTATTCACATTCTTAACAAATTGTATTGCAGCCATATACAAACCTCGCCAACAAGTACTCCTCTCATTTCAAAACAAACAAGTATTCCGCTGTTAAAAAAATATAATTATAGGTTTAGAACAAGGCAAAGTTTTTTTTAAGTTTGATTAAATTTATAGAAAATAGTACTAACATTTGTCTCTAAATAGATTTACTATAAAAAATATTTATAATTAATCTGATGATATTAATTTGGCATCATAAATGTTACTAGTAGTTTTTATATAAATTTGGTCAAGATTTAAATTATTTGACTTCTTGAGAAGTAAATTGCGTTTTTGGGACAGAGTTAGTATAGGGAAGAATAGAATATGCCAGATTTGAAGAAGCTTTATAATATATATGTATATATTAGGCCAGGCTTCCTAATAAGATTTGTCCAGGTAATATTATGAACATGATCTTATAAGATCTGCTTTGCTAGCTGTAATATGATAATCGGTATTTATGAATTTCTAATAACCGATTAGGTAGATAGACTTAGACATGGGAAGGATGTCAACTGCTGAAGCTTGGAGCTTGGTTTCAGTAAGCTAACTTCCTGCATTATTCTTAGGCATCTTAGTTTTAGGCCATGTCTGTTGGAGTGGTGGAGCTCCAAAAAAAAATCTATGGATTTGTGTGAACTACATATTTGTAGCTCCAAGAATTTTGAATTTGGAGTTGGAGATACAAGGGGAAATAGATGATTTATTTAATTTATTTATAGTATGGATTAGATATAAATATTTAAACCACTTTATTTTAGGCCTGACATGGTTCTAAAAGCCATTGGCTACTTGTTACCGTGTACGAATGAGAGCTGGAGCGGTGAAGCCGGTATAGCTAAAATAGTTGCTTCAGACGTGTGGTAAATTTTGGAGACTTATCAAATTGTACCAGAGCTAGAGTTAAATTCAGACGGGGAATGCGAAAATACAGGAACAAAGGGCACTGCTCCGTGAGGCCTGCTGGCCAGAGCTCGGCGCCAAAATCTACGGCGCCGAGCTCATGCCACGTCTGCTGCTACGCAGGCAGTCCACATCAGCGGCACGTAGAAAATGATTCTAGACCTTGGCACCAATGACCATGCCACCGAGACGTGTAACCTCGATGCCAATTATTGATGGCGTCGAGCCCAGGTTTATATTTTGAAAGGATGTTTCTAGGGGTGCATTTGTGAATATCTTTAAACAAAAGGGCTAAAAAACTAAAAAAATCGGCTTCATCAACTCCTAGATGAGGCCTTAATATACAAGCTACAAATCCAACATGGATCTTGGAGTTGAAGCTTATGCCAAGCTGGTCCTAGTATTGTATTGACCAATGACCACGCATATCTCTTTGCTGAGTTTTAAATTTCTTGTGGGGTAAATGCTAGTGTCCCTATCCTAAAAAGAATGTCATCATAGGCTTATTTGAAGTAAGTCAAACTTCCCTGACTAGGATTATAGAAATAATATATCAATCAACGTTTGTCTAAATATGTTTATTATAAAAACATGTTTCATTATCCATCTAATGAAAAACAATATCAACATTTGTTTTCTAAATATGCTTATTATGAAAATATGTTTCATTATCCATCTAATAATACTTATTATGCATTATAAATTGAAGTAATATTTATATGTTTGATTAAAGTTAAAATTGATTAACATGACATTCTTTATTGGGATGTGACGTCCGACGGGATAGCGGCCATTTCCCGCGCGCGCCTGCACAACCTGCCCCTCATCCGCTAATTCGCCCTCCCCGCATGCGCATCGCACCGTCGTCGTGTCCATACGACTGGCTCCCAATCTGCCTTGTTCGCCTCGATTCAACCCGCCCCCATCCGCGCACCCTGACCCCATCCATTTGCCTCGCCCCGCAGGCGCACCCCGCTCATCGTGCCACCGACCGCCGGCCCCAGCACGCTGCGCGCCACGCGCGCAAGCCCCGAGGAGCCCCGGCTCACCGTGCCCCATTCCCCGACGCCAATGTCGTGCCACCATCACTCCCCTGCACCCCATGACTCTCCGAAAAGCATGAAACACGTGCAACATGAAAACACTTGAATGCAACATACGTCTGAAACAGATAAGACATATGGAACATACACTTGCAACATATGTGTGAAAATATATGCAACATCCAAATAGAACACTTACAACACGAAAACACTTGCTGCAATGGAAGACCGAAACAGATGAAATATTTGGAACATACAATTACAACATATGTCTTAAATCATATGCAACATCCAGATCAAAATGCATGTAATATACGTTTGAACAGCTGAAAATATTTTGAACAAACTATTGCAACATGTGTCTAAAACACTTGCAATATATGCAACATCCCCAATTTACTTTTGCAACATTCATGGAAACAACTGCAACATACATCTAAAACGTCTTAAACACTTGAAACATATATTTGCAACATAGAGGAGGGAGAGCACCTATGTCGATCAATTCTGGCCCTCAGGGTGGGAGCTGGTGGCGCGAGTACCACTAGCATCCAGCACCGGAGGGCCTCGCGAGCACCACCGCTGCCGCACTAGCGCCACCAGCACCGGGCTTGGGTCGGGCAAGTGGGCGGCGCGCGTGACGGGAGGGGGCGAGAGGCACGAGCGAGCAGCGGCGGATGGGGCCCGCGGCAGCAGTGAGGGGAGTGCACGTCTACATCCAGGACGGGACAGCCACAAGGCACCGCGACAAGGGAGGAGAGGAAGCAGAAAGAATAAATATGGGTGATTTTTTTTAATAAACTCGCGGGCAGAGCAAGTGGCAGGATAAAAGCGCAAGCAACGAGATGGTGGGCCTGCGGGAATGTCCGACAATTTGTGCTCATGTTGGACCTAAGACGCCGTTCTTTATTAGTCAAGACTCAAGACTAATGAGTGGAGGAGGTAGGACCCCAAGTACATGCCCGCAACGGTCCTCACCATTTTAGTTCCATATATGAATGGAAGGTATTTTATTTGTGGTAGTATGAATACGGAACATAAAATAGCTACAGCATGTTGTAGCATAGTTTGTCCTTAAATCTGGACTACCAATTGCATAATTGGCATGTCGGCATAGTTCACACGGCTTATAGTACAACAATTGTGCTAAACTTTTGACAAGCTCCCTGGTGGGGTATGTATTACAACTCTGTATGCATAGAAGCCACCATCTCTGTTTATTGCATTTCAGATAGGGTAATCAATCACATGTTTTAATCTCCATCTGTCACAACTTCCAACTACACTAAACCAACCAAATGCCAGTATAACAAATTTTCCATCTGTCACAACTTAACTACACTGAGTACAACAGATTACTTAACGAATCCGAATCCAAACTCACAGAATGAACTTTGACGAATTGAGTCCGTATGGCATATGTACAAGATCACAGGACTGCTACTTCCGCGCCCAATAAATCATGTGCTCATCGTGTTGGTTAAGTCAGATTATTAGTTTTGCACTCATGTTCAGCTGCGAAGATAAGCCCATGGCCCTTGTGCCGTCCCTATCCTGGAAGAACAGAACGAGGAGCGGTAAGCGATTGTTAATATATGCGTAATAAAACAAAAGCCACACTACAGCTGGTGTAACACTGAGCTGGCTCGAGCACAATGTTTGGGGGGAAGGAAAACAAAACAAAGATCACACATGTGCCACCAAATTAAACTAAATGCCGTCATCCCTTCCCAAAAGAAGGATGTGGTTCTCTCACGAAGATCGCGAGTGGTGTTTTTTCATGTCCAGGATGTGACCCATACTCTCCATTAATTGGGCAATGCCCATGCCCACACACACATGCCGAATGCAATCCACCTGTTATTCAATGTTGTGGCATACTGCACCATTATTCTTGATATAGATGCCGGCAATTACTACTCTCCATAAATATCCAAATCTTGTGTCACAGCAAAATGTTTTTGTTTGAGGTTATTTCATATTAAAAGGGGCCTTATGTTTACCCACTGCTCTGACCTTCACTGGAGGCCATAAATAGGCTGAACTCATCCTTGGAGCAATCGGCTAGAAAATCCCGAGCTCAGGGATCAACTGGAAAATGGCCACTGATGCACAGTTTCTAACTTTGTCTAGGTTATAGAACAGTCAGTTTCTTAACTTGAGACGTGTTGGAGTAACTCTAGCTCAAGCCTCAGCGAATTTTTCACTTTAAATGCGACAAAGTTGTATTTTGGCTAGCTTAAGAGTAGGCGTGATTTCAGCTTTTATGTTAAGCTGCATAAGATTTGAAACATTCATGACCAAATAAAATGTTGGAATTGTTGAATAATTTTACCTCCAAAATCCAGCAAACATCCGGAGGCTCATGTAGATCACCAAAGCTATCCAGATTCCAATAAAACCGCTATAACTTTCAAGAGTGAGGATGCAAATGATACTGACAATAGCAACAAGGACCTGATGATACAGGATTCAATAAAATTCGTAAGAGAAAAGGTTTAAAAGAATACACGACAACTAGAAGAACAGAAGTTTGTCAACTTGCCATTGAATAGGCAGCATATCCGAAATCTGATGCTCCATAATTGATACCATCAAAAACAAAAGCCAAAGCATTGATTGGTTGAGTAAGGCAGACAAACTGCACAAGGAAAAAACAAATAGTTTAGATAAGTATTTTAAGAGAAACTGCCTCCAGTTGATTTTACATGTCGTTTTGGAAGGAAGAAGAAACTAAGGAATGGTTAATTTAGTCCTTAGCTCTTTTTCTTTCCTAACTTCTCTCTGAAAGGCTTGCATGCAGATTTTCTCCCTTAATGTTTCTCAGGAAGCATGCAAGAGTACTTAATTAGTGGAAAAGGTGGGATTAATAAATGACAACAAACACGCAGAACATCATGTATTTATGAGCCTTTTGAAATAGCTCCGGCTTTGTGTATAAATGAAAAAGGAAGTAATGTAGTATCCATTTCAAGCTACAAACTATACCAACACAATAATATGAAAGAATAAAAGAGATAATGTTTTTTTTTGAACGGGTAAAAGAGATAATGTGAGCCTAACAATAGGATATGAAGGCAGAGACTTGCCACTCTTAGCATTTAGCATAGAAACCATACCGGTATTCCTATGTAGATATGATGCAGTACACCTTGATCATCTGTGAATAATCTAGATCCTATGCGCAGACCAATACCAAGAAGTATACTTAGGATAAGTCCCAAGACCAAAGCCAGCTGCAAAACAAGAAGTGCTTCTCTAAGGCCATGGAAAATGTGTCAAATAGAAAATCAAGATAAATAACATACCTGCAAGATACGAGAAGCTGTGGCAGTAGCCTTTGGATAGTCCTTACGAGCAAATGCACTTGCAAGTATAGCCTGTTGAAATGTGATCCGGATTTATAAGAAAATAAACTAAAAGATAAGATGCATCCGGAAAACCCATTGCCAACCATATTAACTGGAGCTTAAATGTCATACAAATTCCAATAAAGAAGGAATGACCAAGGGAAAGAAAGAGTTCCCTTACCTGTCCAGCAAAAGCCAATCCATCAGCAAGAAGTGAGCAAGCCAACCAGGTTTGCAAGCAGATCTGGAATGCAGCCATTGGAGTTGAACCTAGTCGTGCAGCCATTGACGCAGATAGTGTCACACAAAAAGTTGCGGCGATAACTCGTGCAAGTAACAGAAAACCTGAAGTGTAAAAAGAGAATATCTTAATACAATATTACAATCAGTACACGGTTTAAACAGCTGAAACTACTGTGAATTCCTTCTTCAGTATGAATTAAATGATGTAGCAATATTGTGGAAAGAGATATCATAGATTTATAGCTCAGATGTAAATAAGGAAAAAAGATTTGTAATGACAATGTCAACTGTAAAAATGGACAGATAAATGGTTCACTTGTACTAATAATCATGTGATGAGGAAATTTTCAGTACACAGTACAGTAATCAGTATAGTAACAAGGCATATGGTACAATCTTCTATAGGGGAAAAGAGTATCATATCTTAGTTGGAGTCAAGTGTATTAGAAATAAATTACCATTTTTAAGAAACCGGCCAAACTGCAGGTGTTTAAAGCTAGGTGGCAACAAATCAACATGCAGCCTTAATCTCCATAAGAGTATGGACGCAATCAAATATCTGCAGAATGTTCCACCATACACTATCACAAAAGATAGAGCACAAGAATCATAAACTTTTAGATGTATGTGCCTTCCGTCTCGACAGGGAAAAAGCAAAAGGTATGTACGTACTGTGATATAACATGAGCAATGGCGGCACCACTGACACCATATTGGAACACAAAGATAAATATTGGATCCAAAACTATATTGATCGCATCTCCAGCCACTGGTCATCATAAAAACATTAGACATAAGCAAAAACAGAAATCCTTCCGAGAAACATTGCCACAAACCATTAGCATCATATAACAAATATGTAAATGACTAAAATATGGTCAACTATCAAATGTTATCGTGAATACATTGCAGTCAATGTTGGACCCTTCAGTCCAAACTGCACGTGTTTGAAATATGGATTGAAAAGAATGTACTAAAAATATTGAGAAATGGAAAAGGTACAGTTTACTCCTCTCAAGTATAAGCACAGCTCAGTGTAATCTAGATGTTCACATACCGGATAACTTAACATCTGAAACCAGTTTGCTTAGTAGTTTTATGGCATCGACTTATTTGAAGGTGGAATTGCACATATGAGCTGCTATGTCACCCCAGCTTACTAACATCACTAAGTCAAAGAAAGCACCCTTCTCTCTGCATCTTTTTCTTCAATCTGTTTCTCTTTGCGTTCCCTTCCTCTCTACACAAGGACTAGGCTCTAGAGAGATTTTCTTGCGTGCATGTTTTGCATACAACACACCATCACTAAACAAACCCATATCTGCATGCAATGATGTCTGCACACTGTATTCTCCCACTACAAGTCTCTGGCATTTCTTCAGCACCTTTTTTTGTGTGTAGTGGAGGTGATTGTCTGTGGGTTGGGAGTTGGGACTTGGGAAAGAGAGAGATAAGTTCACATCTGCCCATATGTCAATGCCATTCAGCAAAACTGAATGGTACGTTTTTTGTGATGGCAGACCACTTTCAAAACTAGCATTAATGGGGGAAATGATCCGTAATGAAATGTGGCGACTCAAATCTCAGTCATGATGGGAGTAAAGTGGAACATTTCTTTTAGAATTCAATTTGCCAACTATCTATGGTTTACTAACTAAGAACTGAAAAATTATTATACCAGTTGCATATAGAGGCGTCTTTGTATCCTTAAATCCGCGAAAGACTCCTTGTGTTGCCAGAGATAACAGGACAGCAGGAGCACCAAGAGATCTGAGAACCAAGTACTGCAATGCGGGCTTCATCATAGCAGAATCCTGTTGGAAAATAGTCCTTCAATTGAAAAGGCAACCGCTTATGGGGAAAAGCAACAAAAGGCAAACCCTTAACTCGTAACAGATTCTTCATAGAATTTTCAAAATCTTCACAGCTTTCAACAATTATACTGATGATATGAGCCTACTCTATTGCAACAGTTTCTTACTACTAAACAGAACTACAAGAACAAGTATATTCTCTAAATTTTTCTGCGTTTGATGTTTTAGGCTTTTAGCAACCTAAAAGAACAATTATTTAGCTAGTACATTTGTTTAGTTAGTTAAGTAAAATAAACAATAGAAGCATCCTCAATTAAAAATATACTGGTAGAGGCTTTCATCTGTTGCTAGAAATTCAGAATTATAGGGAAACCCATTATGCTATCCCTTGTGTATTTTTTGCTGAAAAGAATAAAGAACATTAATAGACAAGAAGGAATCAAGAAATTATTACCGGTGTTACACCCATGTAACCTAAGATAGGTTTTGCAGAGAGAACAAGCAGTAGGGTTTCAAGTAGGCCAAGCACCCCACCAAGTAATAGTGCTGTAGAGACTGATGGAATATTTTTCCGCTTTTGCTCTACACTGACCTCACATGAATCAGTTTCAAAAGATGATATGCTGGTAGTGGCACTGGCCCCTGCAAGTAAACTTTTAAGTGTCAAGAAAAGTATGGACTGACCATCTGTCCATGCTTTTTAAAAGATCACCTTCAGGAGAAATCAGTTCCTCCATTTCACTAACAGAAACATTGCATGCATTGTCTTGATTTATTTTGTCATTGTCTCTGCCATTGGACAGAGCATCCTCCTCAGCAACAAATGATGTTGTGACGCTAACAAGGGGGAACACTGCAATTCTCGAGACTTGATTGAACACAGCAATTGATACACCTACAGCTCCAAGTTCAACCGGACCTGGTTGTCACAAATGAAATTTATCAGAGCAATCAAAATACATATAACAGAGTAACCAAACTTTCTGTCAAAACATCTCAAGAGAATCACACTACTTTTGCGGACTTCATTTAGCACTAAATGACCAGGCTCAGTGGGAGTCCAAGATAGTTAGAAGAGATAGTTGACTATATTAAGAAACTGATGGAGTCCAGTTAAGGTAGAGCAGAGTCAGTAGCCCAATAATGAAGCTAAGGTGCGTTGAGGTTAAAGGTCAAAGTATCCTAGGTTGGTTTATACTGTTGAACTATGTATAGAAGATTAAGCAAGAAAGTAATAATTAACCTAGTCCCGCTATATTGCTATTTTCCACAGTCCCCTCTAATTTCTGTGCTCTATCACCACAGTTCTCGAGTTGCAGACAGCCATGCTTCCAGCTTCGTCATATCTTTTGCAGCAATGCACGCTGACTGCACACATGCTTTTCCTTTGATTCAAGGCATGGCCATATTATTCGTGAAAGACACCAGGACTCTTTATATCTGTATATATAACAGTCAGGACTCTTTGTTCAGGTCATCTTGTGACAACGTGAAATGGAATGAGGGCATGTCAGTCGGTGGAGGTGCAGACAGCAAAGCCCCTTGATCGAATAAATTCACATTGAACAAGCAGGTGCAGAGCATGGTACTTGTCGCAAAGTATCAATCTTAACTAGTATTACTTTGTTTTTCGGGAGTTAAGTGGATGGAGCAGGTTTAGGACGGGCGCCCGAGACTTGGAAGAAACGGGGGAGAAGGCAAGAGCAAGAGCAAACCTATGTGGCCAATGAAGGCGGTGTCGACGAGGGAGGCGACGGGGTCAGCCATGAGCGCGAGCGCGCCAGGCACCGCGATCCTCATGATCTCCTGCCCGAGGTCGTCCCATCTGAAGGCGAGCCTGAAGACGGAGGGGGAGCGCGCGCGGGGATGAAAAAACAGGTGGAAATGAAACAGCAAGCTAGACCGGGCGCCCCGGCATGGCCATGGATCATGGATGGGCAGCTCACCTCGCGTCGCGGAGGAATACGCTAAGCGGGTGGTGGCGCTCGCCGCCCCGTTCCATGGCGTCGGCGCTGCGGTCGAGGAGGAGGAGACTCTCCCTCTCCCCGTGCATCGTCCGCACGCAACTACACAAGCAGGTGGAGGGGAATGAAATCGGAAAGGGAATCGGGTCCGGAATTCCTGATGGGTGCCCGCGCGCGTGGGTGGGTGGATGCCACGGGGGAAGGCAATATGTGCCTATGGGGGCGACGGGGTAGCGCCGCCCGCCGGGGCCGGGCTCAGATGGTGCCTCCCTGCGGTGCAGCCGTGCAGGTGCAGGCTACGCCTGGGTCCCCTTCCGGAATGGTATCTGATAATGTATTCGGTGCGTCGTCAACGAAGCCGAAGCGGAGAGGTCCTCCGTGCCCAAGGAGACGGGCGGCGGCGTGGCGGCGTCGCTTACGCCGCCGTGGTGCTCCAGCCTCCGCAAGGTCGCCGCCGCTTCCCTCCGGGCTCCGGCTCCGGCCGTTAGACTCCTTGCGCCGCTCCATCCATCGACGTAGGCTTCGGAAAATATAAAGAAAAGAGAAGTCCATTTGATGTCCAATGTTTCACCCAAGTCCGATTCGCCTCATCTAATATAAAAAACGGTTTTCTAGACTTCTTCAACTTGTGAAATTGGATGACTGCACTTGTTGCGATTTTAGCTAACGTGACTTCATGTTAATCACAAAAAAAATCGAACTAATATTTTAATCCTAAAGTATAATATATTTCGAATTGTCCCAAGTCAAACAAACTTAAATTTAACCAAACTTTCATAAACAACCGAGAATATTGGGCTTGCTCGCTTGAGCTTCATGCGGCTGCAACTGTTTCAAGTATTTGCTACAGTAAATCATAGTTATTTGTCGTTGCTACTGCAACAAGCAGACATATTTATGATATCAAACTAGCATCATTAAATAGATTATGAAAATGAACTTTTATATTTACCTATTTGAGGTCATATGGATTAATACTTTTTACAGATATGGTCAAATTTTTTGGTAGTTTGACTTGGGAAATGGGATAAATTCAAATCCATTTTATTCTAGGAAAGTGGGAGTATGTTAATAGTAGACTTCATAAAAAAAGTTAAAGAAATAGTTGTTAAAAATTATCCAAATATTTCGACAAGAAAAGTTATGCAAATAAAATCCCAAAAAATGATTTATTGCTATAAAACTCGTTTGACTTTGTTTTTAGCTCAGAAAATTAGTTTTTTTCCTTCTAAAATCATGCTCCATCTTACCGTGCCTAATTTGGATGAACTTTTGATATGGTTAGGCTAATTATTGATATGAAAAATCACAACATTTAAATTTTTAAATACACACATACCTTGTATTTTGGGGGATGGATACCTCATGTGTGCGTACATCGGTTTGTCCCTCGTATATCCACTGTCCTCTAACTCTTTGTTTACACCTCTCATCTTCGGTTAGTTTTGGAGTTATTTTCACAAAACTGGCATAAAAATACAAGAGTAAAATTACTGGTACTAACAGTAGCAGTAGTACAGTACTAGGAGTACTAGCCAGAGAGGCCGTGTCAGCTTCTGTTCGCTCTTCAAGGCTTCTCTGCGTTCGGATAAGAGCAAGTATTATAAGCGGCGAAGAGCCGGCGAAATCCGACGTGGGAGAGAGAGAAAGCAGGAGAGAGAAAAGAAAGCGGGTGACTCGTGAGACGCCGGCTGTGAAGGTATTAACCCTTATACTCTTATGGCTAAGCTTGGGCCGGCCCGGATCGATGGGTTCGGTCCACCAAAAGACGACGTGCGGCCTGGTTAACATGATCGGAGTCCCGCGCAAGGAGTCAAGGCGGATTTGGCGATCAATTAAGATCCTGATTGGTTATAATAGGAATCCTTATCCGGCCACATATGACAATTGTAACTGGCTAGGATTAGTTTCCAGATCTGTAACCCTGTCCCCCGAACTATATAAGGCGGGCAGGGGATCCCTCTAAAAAACATCTCTCATTAACATACAGCAATACAAATCAAACGCAGGACGTAGGTATTACGCCTTCTTGGCGGCCGAACCTAGATAAAACCTTGTGTCTGTCTTGCGTCACCGTCTTGTTTGTGGCTTGCGTATCTGTCTGCCGATAATCTACTACCTTGGGTATACCCTAGGTAGACTGCCGACCATATTTCGTCGACAGTGGCGCGCCAGATAGGGGGTGTGCGTACTGCTTCCCAAGCAAACAAGACGGTCATCATCTCCGGCTCCATGGCTACGCCGAACGGCCTCACGTTCACCGTTGGCCAGATCACCTGGACCACCGGCTCCGACGACTTCATCGCCATGACCTCGGAGGAGGCGTGGATCCAGTCTGCGTCGACCACTGCTTCACCTACATCGGCTACGGCTCCGACCACGGTGGATACGGCTCCGACCACGGTGGATATGGCTCCGACCACGGTGGACACGGCTCCGACCACGGTGGGTGCGGCTCCGACCACGGTGGACACAGCTCCGACCACGATGGATGCGGCTCCGACCACGATGGATCTGGCTCCAACCACGGTACATCTGGCTCCGGCCACGCCTGCATCACCTTCAGCCGCGCCGACAACTCGTCATCCGCTTCCCCGCTACAAAGGGAGGCAGATCGACAACACCGACCTGCTCAACTCCATCGATCGGGTTGGCACCAAGCTCGCTGAAACCCTGGCTCTGGTAAGTACGATTCAAAGTCAGCCTAATGAGCAGGTAACCGCTCCCCACAACAGATCTACTCGACCAGCTCGGACCAGTCGTCCTGCACGACTTGGTACAGATCTCGTGGTCACATCTACTCCTCAAGGGCGCTCTGCTCGTCGCCGGCCAGCCTTCGCGATGGGTCTCCGGCTCTCCGAGTACGAAGCCTCGACAGAGAACTACCAGGTCCAGCCCTACGGCCTGCAAAACACTACCTCCAGCTACGCCTACGACCTGCAACGCCGCTTGAATCTGTGTCTTATGCACCGACCTCAGCCGAAGCCGCGCGACTTCGTCAACATGATCCAGATTGAAGATTATCAAGAAGGATCCGTTCACACAGTCCAAGAGGGCGACCCCAGCTCCTCGTCTGGCACCGCATCTAATGCATCTGTCCACATCGAGCTCCAGCATCACGAAGATGAAGGCATCAAGTACGATCTAGATATCCCAGACCACGCCCCGGGGTTCTCACAATTCCCGTCTTTCCCGCCAAGACGAGGGGATCTGATCCATGTTGTCAGCAATGACGAACCTCCAGCAGTTGGCAAAACAGAACAAGAAAGGACTGCACGCGAAGCACGCAATATTGACCGGTTTAATCACCGACAAATCGAAGCCGAAGCAGACCAGGAGGCACGACGCATAAGGGTCCAGCCACGTGACCTCAACGATGCTTTTGACAGGGTGGGGGACAAACAGGTCTTCAGAACTCCAAGTGCCAATGTAGCCGTCGCCATGGCAACAATGCAACGGCTACCCAACACCCCGGAAACCCAAGCAGTTCGCGATGAAATACAAGCCTATCTGATGGCTGCTATGGCCTAGACCGCGGAGATTGTAAACCAAGCTTGGGCTCCATCCGTCTCGGTCGAGTCAAGCCATAGCCGCCAGCACCCAAGTCGCTCATAGCCGCCCAACCAACGTGGCTCGCGCAACAATGACCCATCATACAACCGTCAAGAAGGAAACGGTGGCCATGATGGTGGCCAGGACGACAACCGCCGTCGGGACAACCGTGACAATCGCCACGATAACCGCGGTCGCAGGGCTAATCCAGATGGCAATCGAGATCGCCGCGATGGCAATAACGATCTCCGCCATTACCTCGGTGGACGCGATCTGCGCGCTCGCATCAACCAGAGAGCCAACGATCGAGCGTCCCACGAAAGTTATCGCCATATGGAATATGACACTGCCCACGACCCATCGGGTTTGAAGCAGTTTACTCCACACCTTCGCCAAGTCATATGGCCCAAGAATTTCAAGCTCGAGAAGCTTCAGAAGTACGACGGCAAGGAAAAACCCGAATTATGGGTCATGCTTTATGAGACTGCGTGCGATCGGCTATATGCGGATGAGCACGCTCATGTCTAACTACTTCCCGTCATTTGTTGGCCATGCGGGTCACCAATGGTCGGTCACTTGCCGGCGAACTATTTCGACTCTTGGCGGGAGCTCAAGCAAGCCTTCATCGACAACTTCATTGCTACTTGTGAACAACCAGCAACAAATACGATCCGCAACGTGTCCGAGATTGAAAGATGAGCGGCTGCGCGAAATCGCGCTCGGCGTTTCTCTGAGATGCGCATCAAGGTCCCATCAATCTCTGACAACGAGGCAATCAAGGCTTTCATCACTGGCCTCCGCTTCCACGATGCCCTAAGGGACAAGCTCCTCCGCAAAAGACCTGATTCGGTCACAGCGCTCCTGGCCACCGCTAAGAAATACGTGGACGCCGACGACGCTAAAAAGATAATTATTAAAAAAGCAGCAAGGGTTCCGCGCTCCGACCACCCCCCACACCGCGACGACTACCGCGGTAACCATGGTCGGAACGACAATTTCGACCGCCGCAACCAGCGCAACGACTCCCGCAACCACCGTGACCAACATAATCAGCGGCGTAACCGCCGTGATGATTACAGGAGCAAGCGTGCTCGGGAAGACGACGGCGAGGTCAACACCGTTAAAAAGGGTGGCGGACGTCGTAACTATGAAGACGACTATGCCAAGCCATTGAAGAGGCCCTGCCAGCTCCAACCTAAGTCGAACCATACCATGTAGAATTGCCGCGTCCTCAAGTCTATCTACACGCGTCAACAAGCTCCGGATACGTCCGACAAGCCTAACGACGCAGGGGAACAGCGCAACGAAGATAACGACGACGATGATGCAGACCCCCGTCACAAGTACGTCAAGCCAACCGATCACGTGCACACCATCATCGGAGGCAAAGTGTCCATCGAGACCAAACGAGAACGCAAGCCGCTTTCGCCCGCTTGCTTGAACGCGTACCAACACCGACAATCTCCTCACCGATCCGCGGCTCCTCCGTGGTCTCACCGCGAAATCTCTTCTTGCAGAAAAGACCAATGGGCGCAAT